CGACGGTTTGTTTGCAGTCAGCATTAAACCATTGTTTACGTATGTGTGGGCATGTAGAGGACTTTGGAATACATGCATCAGCTATTTTGTTTAGTTCATCAGAGAACAGTTAAACAGGGTCAGGAACATCGGTAAACAGATCAGGTCTTAACTTGGTTGATCAAAGTTCTTTTCAAATAAAGGCCAGTTAGCTTCAGTGAAGTTCCACCTTGATGATGGAGGAACATCAGAGGGAATTATAGCTTTGAGAATGGTTCGGAAATGGTCACTTAAACACATGTCGTCATGGAGATGAGTCTGTAATGGATAGATCAAGGGAGGAGTATGTACCTGTACCGGGATGTAAATAAGTGTCGGAATTATCATTAAAAATACATATATTATTGTTGGAAATAAAATAAACCAGTACTTTCCCCTTATTGCTTGTATGTGTACTTTCCCATGAGGGGTTGTGGCCATTCTAATCACCTATGGTGATGCAGGGTTTGGGAAGCTGGTCATAGAGGGCCTGGGGATCAACATGATGTAGAGAAGAAGACGGCGGGACAGAGAGAACAGAGATTAAATACAACGTGTATGGTCACACGGACAGCAACAGCCTGAAGAGGGGCATTAAGAGGAAGGTTATGTCTACTAATGCCTACAGTGACAAATGCCTACAGTGACTAATGCCTACAAAAGTTGTTGTTTTAGTGTACACACTGTTTCACGCACCCCTGCACTCAAGTGGTCTACTCTACTTAGTGTTCACTAATGCCTACACTGTGAACACAGACTAATTAATGCCTTAGAAATGTTACTGGGATTGTGAAAATATTTGACCTTTGTATAAATTTATTTTCTTAGATGGTATTGCACTTTGATAACCGGAGCAGAAAACATGGATTTTCTGTAAAATGAGAGTAGAAGAATAATATTTCTTTTAATGGCTTCCTTGCTTTTGCGGACAAGATTGTGATTCTGGTTCGGATATTGGGTCTAATGAAGGCTGTGATGTTACAACATATGTCTGAGAGGCTGATGTAGGTATATTTAACAATGCTGGAGAGGTCTGAGTATTTTCATCAAGGATAAGCAGTTTATCCACCCAAGATACTGAAGTTTGACATGAAGTCGAACTCACAGAAGGTCTGACAACTGGAGCTGCAAGGGAAATAGCAGGTCGAGAGGAAACTGCAGCTGAGCAGTTTACTGTTGACGGATTTGGAGCAGGCACCAACGTTTTTGCTTCAAAATAAGAAATATTGTTTGTGTGTTTTATTTTTTGAATTTTTGTTTCACGTTCATGTTTGGGGTAGGACTTGGATGAGGCCAAGTGTTCTCCGTTGCAGTTAGCACACTTGATGGTATTCGACGCAAATAAATTATTGTCTGTCTTTCTGTCTCAGAGCTCTCGTAAGCTCCACCACAAAGGGAACGTGCCGTGTTGTTACGGCAAAACTTAGCCCCATGACCAAACTGTTGACATTGGAAGCATCACAGTGGATTTGGTACGTATACATTCACTCCGATGTTAAGGTATCCAGCTTTTATATTCTTTTGAACAGATGAAAGTGCAAATGTAAACAGGTACGAGTTAAGTTTTGTAATACTGCTATCATCTTTCTTTTTTGTGAATCGCTTTTTACAACATTTTTTTTTCATCTCTTGATTTTTCTGCTCAGCTGCTATTTCTTCCTCACGCATATCGGAAAGTAACCAAAGTCAGTAATTATATGATATCGAAAGAACTATCCATGCTCAGGGCATGGCGTGAGCAGCCGATTGATAGAATCGGGCCAATTCTACCACCCGTCTTGTTGAAGTAAGGGTCGAAGTGGTGTGTTGGGCAAAGGACCACCTGGTCCTGGCTCCAGTGCCCTCAACCAAAGCTCGCTAAACACAATGTGTATTCCTAATACAGGATATTTACCATCCCCAAACACAATGCTTAAAAACACATCGTTTTGTTAAAGGTATTTTGAGAGATATTCAGGAACTCTATGCCCAACTGTGAGAACACTGTGTGAGTCAGCCCAGCGTGAAGCACGTGAAATATGACCTCCCCCCCCCCCCCCCCCCCCCCTCTTTCTGTTTGTTTCGTTAAACGAAAAGTCACCAATCACAAGTACTGTACAAATACTAGAATGCATAGACTAACATACTGAATACAAATTGCATAAACATATTTTGCAGTTCATAAACGGATAAGCAATTAGTACTGATGTAAGTAAATATTTAGTTGTTAACTTCATACAATTTCACCCGTAGCAGAAGTCTTCATTCGTTAGCCTTCCGTTCGGACTTCGCGCGTTCGAATCCCGCTGGCGACAAACGTTTGTCATGAAATTTTGTTCTATCATCAAGATAAATGATATGGAAAAAAAGAAATTCCGACATTGACAAGTGGTATTTAACTAACAATTCAGTTAGTTAGACCACGGTCAAAGACAAAGGAGCCATGGTTTAAATTTACTTCAACTGGGTTGATGTTTCTGCAAGTTGACAAAGTCCCCACATTTCAGCGATCCATATGCCTTTTGCACCCATTTGAATGTTTTGGAGAATAATCGAGACTAGTTATTCTTTGTCGTTGACCATTACAGGCCACCTATGTGCAGCAATATTTCTCTCTGGGACATTGGTTTACGCCAGACCGAGGCCTTCTCTTGTATTGTTTTCCGTTTCTTTTTGAAATCAGTGAAAAATCCGTTCGGTGGACTCATAATAAACGGGGAACAATTGGTCTGGCCTTAATGGTTACGTCAAAAGGATGCAACTCTTATGATAGAGGAGATCTGACTGTATGGTGATGTGGAACTATATACTATTGGCCATCTTCCCGAGGCAAGGGAGTTAACTGACCATAAAGTCCAGTTTCCACTCTTGCTGAACTAGGCTGGAAATATGGAGATATATTTTGGCTGGACTAACGAGTTTATGCGTAGTCCTATCAAATCGCGTACCGAAATCGACATTCGGTTAGTAAACTGTCGTGTAAATTTCGGTCGATTGCAGGATTTGCAAAGCATGTATACCGCCAACGACAAGTTGACGGTACACATGCTTTGCAAAGCCTGCAGTCGACTGAAATCTTTACCCCTTTATGGCATCACTATTATGGGTCAGCAGATATTTTCCAAATGTTTTCATGTTTTTAATCAAGGTGCTCACTTGCTTTGATGCACTTCGCGAAGTAAGACCCGTTTTATCACAATATAGATTTTTGATTATCAATCAGATTTTCTTGACTGGATTTTCATAGTCAGTTAACTCCCTTGCCTCGGAAAAATGATTATTGACTGATGGTCATTCTGTGATGTATGGTTTTACTCCACTTATCCTAATATTCCATCTGGAACTGGGGTATAAGCCTACAGAGCCTTGACTGACTGACTGAGTATGGTTTTACCCCGCTTTTAGCAATATTCCAGCAATATCACGGCGGGGGACACCAGAAATGGGCTTCACACATTGTACCCATGTCGGGAATCGAACCCGGGTCTTCGGCGTGAAGAGCGAACGCTTTAACCACTAGGCTACCTGACCGCCCCTACAGAGCCTTGAGCCTACTGCAGGGTCTTAATCCTAATACTTGCCATCACATTTACTTAGCTTCATAAATAACACCCACTCACTGAAGAGAAGGGGTGTAGTGGCATGTCCTTCTGATGATGGGGTTGATGGGAAGATTAATGACACACCGAAACAATGGACATGCCCTGGTGATATAATAAATGGAAACTGGAAAGTGTAAGCAAGTGACCTGGTCTTCATGCCACTTTTAGCAATATTTCAGCAACATCATTGTTGGGAACACCAAACACATAACAAGAAGATGCTTATGTGATATTATTATTTATTTTCAAAATATGTACAAATGTAGTGACTGCTGTAGAAATGGTTGGTCATCTGGTCAGTCTCTTCAAGATGGAACTGATGGTCTTCTTTAAGAAGGTCTTGTTATGCCCACAAATATGACCCATCATGGCCACTTGCAGCGGAGTCCACTGAAAGCACAAGTCCAGAAGTCATCACACAGTGTCTGGCTGTCATGAATGTTGATTTACACCGCAGTCAGCAATATTCCAGTGAGGGAGGACAGCTATATCATTTAAAACCTATGGTTGACATTATGAATGCCCTGAGCAGTAGGGTACAATGACACAAGGACTAATAACCAACTCCTCTTACAACAAGCCGAGTTTACTGGAACTGTGGATCAATTATATCCTAGAATCCCCAATAGGTCAGCAATACTCTAGCTATATCACAGCAGGGCAATGATCCTCACTGCTGACCTGGCTAACTATGTGTGGTTGTACCCACAGGATTTCACAGCAGCCTGTATATAGTCAAGTCTGGACATGGCAAACCAGTGGTTGACATCAAGGGCAATGATCTCTGCTGCTGACCTGGCTAACTACGTGCCCTTGTACCCACAGGGATTTCACAGCAGCCTGCATTAGTCAAGTCTGGACATGGCAAACCAGTGGTTGACATCAAGGGCAATGATCCATGCTTTATCCCTGGATGATTATGTGTCAACAGACCCACTTGATTTTCTACTGCCCTACCACATCTTAACTAGTTGCATGTCACCTAGCTGGAGTATAATTACTTAAAACAAAATTATTCCATGATTCTGGTTGGTCAGGCAGAGGTATGATATCACCAATAACTACTTCTGATTGAAACAGCCAATTTTCTCACCTTAATTTCACTCCCGACAAGCCACTTTATCAAAACACATGTACTAGTTTGGAATTAGCTATACATGGAAGCTCTTAGGTGTAACAATTACATTCATATTCACCTGTTTGGCATATTTATTAACGAAACTCAACAGCAGTTTCCCAAACTTGAGGTTGCTATGGAACTGGTCTGCGGACCGAGACAAGCAATCTAAGATGGCTGTTGAATCTTCTTCATCCAAGTCTGGCTTGGCATCCATAGCAACATGAAGCAGGGTTAGTCCAGGCTCTGTTAATGTCACTGTCTGTTGAACAAACTTTCTGCAAGTCAAAGTTTTTCATTTATTTTCAACCATTATATCCTGCATTTCTTACTACACAAACTGATTAACACAATCTACTTTATAAACATTCAATCTCTTTTATGGTCAAATACAGTGAGACCCCACTAATCTAGACATGAGTTAACCAGAAATACTGGCTTTCAAAGGAGCCTTTCAAAATGAAAGATTTACAGTATATGATTGTTTATCTACCCAGAAATCCAGTTTCTGGATGGTCACTAAAACATAGGGCACTTCAACCTGGCTTGCTACACACAAGCTTACATTACATGGGAGGGCGGGGATAACTAAGCACTTGAAAAGCAACCCACGTCCTACAAATTAGCTGCTTATGATGATTTCATGTTTACCTGGGACAGTTACGAGAGGATTTCTGCATCAAGATTCAGTGTAATTTATTTTATGTTGTTGTGCATCACATGTACATTTGTTTGTTGACACATTGCCTTATTTCAAACAGTTATTTATAAAAGTGCTATATAACAAACATGCTATATACGAGGGCTGGTCAAAATGTTCTAAGCCTGACTAACTTTCAACTATGGGTCATAAGAAAGAGAACTAGTCAATGTTGTACATTGTTTGAGTAGCTCATTGCAAGTGTATTTAGTCTGTGGAGGCCGTTTGTATATTAGTGACAGACAGTTGAACGTGATAGGGGGCCAAATGGACGCAGAAAAGAGAGAGTACCAAACACTATTTAACTTTATGCAGCTATGTTTAAGGCTGGCACCATTCCATTTCTCTTGCACCAAAAATATTCAAGACTTCAAGATCACTGAGGAAAGTTATGGCATCTGTATTTTAGGATGCAAAGGGTGTGATCTGTGTTAATTACTTAGGAAGTCAAAAGAAGAATACTGATGCCTACTACGCTCATTTGCTTCACCGCCTAAGAGATTCTATGAAAGAAAAGCGTGGAGGAATGCTGACTGCTGGAGTTCTACTAATTCATGACAAAGCCTCTTCTCACATCTCTCAACTTGCAAAGGCTGCTGTGCGACAATGTGGGTTTGCAGAGCTGCCCTACCCTCCATACTTGTCAGACCTGGCACCAAGTGATTTCCACCTGTTACCTAAACGGAAAGAACACCTACATGGAAAGCACTATGATGACAACGATGACCTCAAAGCTGCAGTGAATGGGGTTTTCAGGGTGGCTTCAGAAAACTTCTTCCTGACAGGAATTGAAAGCTTCACTATCAATATGAGAAGTGTTTTGAAAAGCAGGGAGAGTATGTTGAAAAAAAAAATTAAAAACACTTTCACAATTGTTGGTTTTGTTTGTTAGGCTTAGAACCTTTTTACCAGCCCTTGTATAGTCCTTACATTTTCTATCAGATTCTATTAGTGGGACTTTAAATGCTTAATGTGCCAAGAGACAGAGAGTTACCTGAGTAGGTAGGCATGATGGCTCGGCAACAGAGAATCTTTACACAGACGACACAGAATCTCACTCTGGGCGGCACCTGGGTACAGAGTAAGAGACCTCAGTGTCAACAAACTAACAGGTGAGGTGAGGTGAAATTGGGTTTAACGTCAAGATTATTGCACTTATATAGCGACGTGCATGCCCGTGTGTGTTTGTGTGCGTTTGGCTGCTTGTACTAGTCTGGACTGATGCCGATTTATAGTGCTAGCACACTGATATACCATGCCGCAGTTTAACATGAATACCCCACTCAGACACAGTATACTGACTCCGAGCCGACCAGTCCTTGTTTTAGCCCCTTAATGCTGAGCGCCAGACAGGGTAACAACAAGTACCATCTTTTAACATCTTTTGGTATGACGCGGCTGGGGATTGAACCCCAGATCTTCCGCTCTACGGGCAGACGCTATACCACTAGACCACGGAGGCGGTCCACAAACTAACAGTAGCTGGGATGGATAAACATTTGGAATCATTCCAAGTATACTTTTCAAAAAACATATTTCAATTAAAATAAAAGCTTCATCTAGAGCTACTGATATTGTTCACTGATGGAGAGTGATCACTATAAGACTGCTTCATCATACCCATGTGACTTGGATCACTCCTAGTCGTGGCATCCAATTTTAGAACTCTTGAGTCATATCAATATACACAGCTGCTAAAGTAAATTAGGCCAGGATTTTCAGATAGAAGGCATGACCATGAATGCTCATAAGCTTGGGCCTAAATATATTATGGATTTTCAAAAAATTAATTTGCATCCGTGCATACTGCACTGCAGGATCCAGAATACCACTTAAGAGGGCTGGGCATCCCGCATACCTAAAGGGAGTTGGCACCTTCAATATGTGACTACATCATGACATTACAACAATCAGGATTATCAGGATCTTGGACATCAGGCGCTAATAACCAAATCTCATTAAAAACAGGCCTTGGTTCTCGCTACCTCAAAACAAATGTCCTACTGCAGGTCATGTCAGACCAACCAATAGAATGACTGACAAGAAGTCGACATTAGCCAATCAGAAGGCAGTTTCCTTTTGCTTTATGGCACTTCTGACTGTTGACTATGCTTCGAAACATATTATGACTAATTCTCAATTAAAAATTAGAAAAATGAACAAAAGAACCTTCTGGAATGGCCAATAGATGGCCTAGATTGTATGGATTAACTGTCGTTTGGAATATACCGTGTCACATTACTCTAGGTTGCATGATTAGAAAACACATTCCGACTGTCACTTTCATGATCTGGTACGCGATGCTCTGATTAGTCAGATGAAAGGTCGTTCTGACGTGACCCATAATGGGATGTCTACAGATCTTTGATTAGCAGTAGCAAGAACAGATCTGATTTTAATGAGATTGCCATCAATGTTGTCCACGGCCCAAACTTGATTCCTACAGGCCATTATGATATATCTGGAGCATTGTTCACTCCCTTTTCCCTATTTGTAAACATCCTTGACAACATGACCCCCTTGCATGTGTGGTAAGACACCAAAATACAGTACAAGGTTACCATGCAGTCCTGAAACACTCCTTGGGGATTTAAGGGTAGAATAGCTTCCCTAATCATACAAGATCCTTCTGAATGATGACAAATCCCATCACAATAGCAAAAATCACAACTTCAGTCCTGGTTAATACATGGACCAGGCTTGGATGAAAAATCTTTCACAGTTTTCAAGTTATGCTCCGAAAATAAACAGGGTCGCAGAGACAGACCAGATGACTTTGTCCCCCTGCATTGATAATAAGCCAACCAAAAAGGATTCAGACCAGGCTCTGTGACTCTGTGACGCCAATTGTGAGTATTATTTCTCATGTTGTTATTAACTGGTCTAGACTTGATTATTTACAGGCTGCCATGATATAGCGGAATAATACTGAGTGCACATTAAACAACAGACTCACTTCCTAATACACATCTCATTATCATATTTGTTTGTTTTTTGTTGTTTAACGCCGCACTCAGCAATATTCCAATATATGACAGCGGTCTGTAAATAATCAACTCTGGACCAGATAATCCAGTGATTGACATCATGAGCATCGATCCACCCAATTGGGATACGATGACATGCATCAACCAAGTCAGCGAGTCAGTTAGTCGCCTCTTAAGACAAGCCTAGTCGCCTTTTACGGCAAGCATGGGTTGCTGAAGACCTATTCTACCCCGGAGCAATATCATGACCCACCTAATTCCTGCACTACAGATGGCGCTACTATTGCATCAAGGAGTTGAAGAGGAAAAGTCTCGGCCAGTGAGATCAGTGTGTCCTGCAGCATCCTTGCAGCTGATTGCGCCAAGCTCCTCACCTGAAATCATGCAGTGACATTTGTATTCTTACCAGAGATCTAAATCATATGCTGTATTCTTCATATTAAGCTCCCTGCTTCAATTAGCAATCTGTCAACCAACCTCTTGACCAATGTGTAAGTATTCTTCATAAGTGCCTCCTACTAAGACCAAAAATTAACATGACAGTTCATAATTTGGCTGGGGTCTGAGGGACTATTTGATTTATTGGTATATATTGTAATAGCAAGTATCACAAAAGTGAGAGTTGACGTAACATAATCTGTGGAAAATTCTCATCCCTGATACATACAGATGTTTTGAAAAACAGAAATTATCAACATCAAAATTTTCTAAGTGGCCGGGGTGCTTATTATGGCAAATATGGTAACAGTAAGCAGGGCACAATTGAAGGAACCGATATGGATAAACTAGTCTAAATAAATAAATCTCAGATCTCCGATGACTGTTATGATTTTACATAAATTAATGATGTAATGTTGTTAAAACATAATAGGAACAAGTGCACATAATTTTGAAGTACCCACAGTCTGATGACATCACGCCCAAGAAAGCATGACAAATTACACACATTTATACAGGGATGCAGTATGGTAAACTAAGTTTAGTGATACTGAGTGTGATTAAAGATCAATGTTGTGTGGACAACTATGGATTGGGTTATTTTACATGCGCTTGGTGCATGTAGACATAAATATCAGGATGCACTGTAACATAATAGGTTGCACTGGTACTAAGTCGAGCCCTGGTGAGAGCATGAGGGTTTTAGATTGCTTTATCAATATAGACTCATAGCAGCAGGTGACAAGACTTGGGACTCATGTACGTATGCAGGGACAGAAACCTGACCATCTTGTGTATACTGCATGGCTACCCCACCACCCAAAATAGATATACAGTCAAACCCTGCTGTCTCAGCTACCAAGGCAGCAGGCTCGCGGGATCCCCGCTAATAAATAAGAATTGACTCATATCTTTTACTGTAGGGGGTCAGCCACATCTAAATTCTGTGATAAAGTTATTATCTCAAAATATGATACATAACTATCATGAAAACTTATCAATATGTCATAAAGATCGACTGTCTAAGTTTGCTGACTGAATACTTCTTGGTAATGGGTCTTCCAATTGGCTGAAATTAATTCTGCTGAATGCTGTATGTTATATAGGTGTTTGTCAATGGTTAATGAAAGCTAAAGTACATTGAGAGTTAGACTGACTTCACCTCTGCCCTAGTTCATGGGCTCTGCAGGCTACAGCGAGGGCGCAAAAGGACAGAAAACAGTCAACATCGAGAATTTCGGTCAACGAAGCAGATGGATGGAAACGGCAGAGTAAACTTTGGAGTTTTTTTCACTGCCAGACAGGCAAATGTTGACGGAGACCATGACTCTTCAGCCACAAATCCATCAATGGATAAACATGGCAAGAAAAATTGTCTGAGACTAAATCGAATGATGCTGCTAAAACTAGCAACGAAACTCTGAAAAAGAATTATTCGTACGCCGACGGTTCCACCTTTGAAACTGAGAAATTTAACCACAGAAATGTCCAACAAAGCTGGCTGTGAGATTTCCCTTGGTTGCAGTTTCACTAGAGACAAACTCTATGAGTTGCTGCATATTTATAAAACATAAGAAGACAAATTTGCTGACACAATTGAACTCTAATTTCCTTTAAAGGCATGCTCTTACAGCTGACCATAAAATGTCAGTTGAGGCGGAAAATCTGCATTTAGGCAAAACCAACATAAAGCATACCGAACACAAAGTTATAAGTGATAAGGAATCAGGTATTATTGTAGCACTAAAAGGCAAAAAGGAATAACTGGATGGCAAAAGAGGACATAGCTATTACAAAATATCAAGTTTGACAAATCTATTTTCACAACTAAACTGTCCCTACCAGAGCGAAGTGAAGAGTGGAAAGACGAAAGTGCTGTTGATATGCTTAAGTCATTGGCCCATGTTATTCGCAGGCAACTGGACAGTAAACTGATAAGGTCACCCTGTTAGCTGATGAGAGCACAGACATTGGCATAAAGAAGAAGTTAGTTGTGTAGACTAGAGTAATAGATACAGAGACATCTGCAGCATCCACACATTAATAAGACACCAATGTTGAAATCAAGTCCGCAACTGGTAAAAGCATGGGTCAAGCACTTACTGTTTTGGAAGAAAAAAGTCATTGGTCTGGGCTCTGATGGAAAAAAAATGCTGACAGGTACAGGTGAAGGTGTGACTGGCTACCTCTTTAGAGTGAATCTAATGCTAATGTGAGTATTGCACATCGTTTGGCCCTGGTCACTTCACAAGCAGCAAATGAAATCAACTCCCTGAGAGACTTCCAGGATACATTAACAGGATTAGTTTAGAACAACAAAGATCATTCATTATTGAAAATCAAAGAGGTTCATGAAGTAGGTGGTTGTGGTTGTCGGTGTATATTGCAGAGCAGACAATCTACAGATCCTTGGATGCTCTGATATCCTTCTTTGCCACACAGAGACAGCAAAGCTAAAGGCTGTGCCAAAATACTTTCCCAATATGACTTCATAGCAACAACTGTTAATGGATACTTTACCTGTAGTGTCTCAGCTATGGCTGACTTTTCAAAAGTCTGACTTGGATGTGTCTGTGGTTCAGATCATTGTAAATCAGCATTGGAGGTTCTGAAGAAGGGGGAAGCCTTACACAGTACTTATCTTGAACAGCAGAATGAACATGGGACAATAGAAGGTGGAAAGCTTGTCTACAAGGGCAACCATTGTGTCAAGGGGAAACACAACATCCATTCCACAAAGGAAAAATGCATTGATGAAATTATGAAGAAAAACTTGATGACAGATTCCCTTATAACAGGAATCGTCATCAATGCATCTGAGGCCAGGTGCTTGGTCTGAGGCCAGTATCTTTCCCCAGGATGATCTCCAGTCATGGGAAAATCACTAAACTCACTTACTGATCAGTCAGTTTGGGGAAGAAAACATGTCTGCAGTTACAGGCAACATATTGCACCTACCAGTGTTATTAACTCTGTGGCAACAAGGCAAGTATAGAGTAGAGTTGGCAGAACACTGGATGTATCAATCTCACAGTCCGGTCCCAGCAAATAATTTCTTCATTTGGAATAACTATTTTAACACGAATGTGTATTTCAAACAGGAGTTTGAACCAATGGCATGTACTGTACCATGATATTAGAGGAGCATGTAGCTGGGAACCAAGTTTAGACATTCCCACAACTAAATCATAGCAAGGTGTTATGTCAATACTATGTCAGCCTTTGTCCTTCATACAGACCATGAAAAAGAAAATGTCTGAAAAATCCAAAGCAAGTCTACAAGAGTTTGGCAAGTGTATATTTCTTCAGTTTCTGGAAATAAGCACATTCACAAGGTAAGAGTCGGGTTTACAGGGGGTCACAGGGTCACATACCTTTTAAGGGGTCAAACACATACAGTATTCGACCCATTAAGCGCCCAGGGCGCTTAAAAAAAGACAAATTCAGAGTCAAATTGGCGTAAATTCATCAGTTAGCCATATCGTATTTTCTTCTCCAAAAAACACAGCTGTGTAGAAGGGGGTTCGCATTATACACGAATTAATGAGTTTTGATGTTTTTTCCCCCATGGAAAGACATTAGTGTGAGCACGTAACACCAGAAATACCATGTCAACAAATCCATCCTGAAGTTCGCAAATTATTCATGTAATTATACTGTCTGACTATAAAAAGTGTTCTTTGTATATCTGGACTTATGTTTGTAACTTAATTCATTAATTTTATTCAAAATTCCTTTTAATATTGTTTTAATTAATTTCGGCGAAATCGTGTGTGAAGCAATCGGACAATCGCACAACTCACCATTATTAACAGCAACCACGGTCAGATTACAGCTATTGACGCCTTGAAACTTTAGTTGACAGAGAATGGATACATATATCATAAATGCCATACTTTGATTCGTTAAAAGTCATATTTGTTTTTGTTGGACGATTCTATGTCAACACGTAATTCTCGCGATCACGTGCACGGGAGCCTTGACGGTGACTGGTCAGACTGGTTCCATGTGAAAAATAATACCCGGCAATAGCGATCAGCTGCTTCGCTTAGGGTTATTATTATTTTAAATATGTTTAGTAAAAGCTGCATATAAATTAACAAGATATTGGAATATATTATTCCTGATAAAAAAAATAGTTTCAGATACAACTTTTGCCGATCCTTGCATTTAAAATACTGTAAAGTTATATCATTGGGTGTGTCTTGACCGAATCACCGGTAGATTCCAAGAAAGCGTGTGTACAGCTGATTGCTTTGTCTGGCTTAGTTTACAAGAAAATGCACAATGTAATCTTAATCCCTGGATATAAAACAATGCCTAGCTGAACAAAAAATACAATTTAAACAGTAAATCAACATGTCTGGTGATTTTTTATCTCAAATTTCGAATTTGTACTGACAAAGTTTCTCATCACCTGTTCGTTTGCCGGACTTCGCTGACGGGGTACGGTGTAATTTTTCTCTGCGCATAATATTCAAAGTCACAAATATCTAAAAGAAACAGAATACAGTCATGCCCCGCTTATACGGACTTCAAATATCCGGAAACCTCGGTTCCCGGACGATTTTCATTTAAAACGAAATAATTACTATTTAAATTTTATTTTTTTTGGGGGGGCGCTTATTGGGGAAGGGGCGCTTAATGGGTCGAATACGGTAAGTCAAATTGAGACACTTGTCAAATTGTCCCTATTGCCCACTTTCACAGTTGCAGCCTGCTTGGACTTGTTCTCCTATATCAGCCTTGACCATACTAGCGACAACTTTACCTCATGTTGCTCAAACGATTTCTTTTCGAGGTCAAGTTTGATTTCCATGGCAACCATATGCAAAACGAACAGACAACAAGACTGACAACATGCCAAAAAATAATCTCATTTCACTTCAGTCAGGTCAGCAAATTATTGACAGAATATGCCTCAAGAAGAAAGATATGTGAAAATGTTTAAATTGAACTTGTTAAAAGAGAGCAAAAGGTTGTGCTCAGTGAATGAGTTGGGTTTAAGCCTCTTTGACCTGTAGGTGATACTTAGACATTTACCATTTAGTGAAACTCACAGGCAGGGATATATTTCAGTATAGTGCTGATAAACCAAGTATCATAATCAGGTAGAATCGTGTTTGTTTGTTGGTTAAATCCACACTTCAAAAATTTCAGGAATATGACGACAGTCTGTAAATAATAGAGTCTTGACCAACCAATCAAACAAACAGTGAATCACACCATGAGCATCAATCTATGCAACTGGGATACGATGACATGCATCAACCAAGTCAGGAAGCCTGACTGCCTGATCCTGTCAGTCACCTCTTATGACTGGATTTCTGAAGGCCAATTCTAACCCGGATTTTCTCAGCAGTACAACCATGGGTTGCTGAAGATCAATTCTAACACAGATCTATAAAGGGTACAAGCATGGGTTGCTGAGGACCAATTCTAAGCCAGGCCTTCACAGTGGTATAAGTATGGGTTGCTGAAGACTAATTCTAACCCAGATCTTCATGGAGAGGGAAAATACTGATCCATTGGAAGCAGCAGTCAACATTTCTTTGTATAAATTCACCTTGTTGGTAACTAGTCCAGCCAGCAGCGCCACACAAGATCTGTACGTCACGCTGTCGGACATCTTGACCAGCACACTCCCCACAACCGCCAGGATTGGATCTGGCAGATTCGTCAACTCACTGACTTGACACAGCGTTGCCAGCTGAAACATAGGGATGGCTTCACAGGTGAATAGTAGGCACAAATTGAGGTGGAATGGGGTTTAATGTCACCTCCAACATTATTATACATGCATGTATGTATGTGCATGCATGTATGTGCGTGTGTAGATGCTTGTCCTAGTCCGGAATAATGCCGATTTTATAGTGCTAGCCCACTGAGATACCACGCTGCAGTTTAACATGAATACCCCACTCAGACACAGTATACTGACTCAGAGCCGACCAGTCCTTGTTTTATCCCCGTAATGCCCAGCGCCAGGTAGGGCAACAATAAGTACCATCTTCTAAACGTCTTTTGGTATGATGCAGCCAGGGATCGAACCCTGGACCTTCCGCTCTCTGGGTGGACACTCTACCACTAGACCATGGAGGTGGTCAAGTATGCACAAATAACAAACTAAGGAGAATTTCACCAACGTGCTGACATAGAGTTTGTACTTTTATTGACAAGTGTTGATATCAATAAATATCAAAAGACAGAACGGTGCGATTCTATTTGTCATCCAAGACAGTTTGTCAACACAAATAACTAATGCCTTGAGTGTAAAAAGTAGATCTGACCAGCTTCAGTGGCAGAGAGAAAAGTGATGTCTTTGATCGTGACATTGTTACCGATAACATCACAACAGCCTGCAAAGCATTATGATGCAATTTCATTGCGTGATCTCAATGAAGTGATATCTCTTTGGATACCAGTGTTTTATGATAAAATTACTTTTCTCACAAATTAACCAGCAGGGTGCGAAATGTAAGATATAATACCTGGTTGGGTGGTGTCCGGAGAAGGGTTTGAAGTTCCCCCTCAATGCTGACACGATCATCCGCAGACCCCAGAAGCATCTCCCTCAGTCTTATACCATTATCCTGAAAAAACAAATGGTTGTCAGAGAACAGGATATTCTTGACCAGCCACATACTCTAAGAACAAGCAACTGTTTCATGCTTGTGTGGTCTTCAAATCACTCATGCTATTCTGAAACTTGAGGTGAGGTGACATTTGCCGTTGCATTGAAGATTATTACAGTCACATTGTGTTTTATAGTGCTAGCACACTGAGATAATATGACGCAGTTTAACATGAACACAGTATACTGACTCTGAACCAACCAGTCCTTGTTTTATCCCTGTTAAGCCAAGCTCCAGCAGAGTAACAACAACTATCAAAAACTTACGAACGAACATAATTACTAAGTTATTGTTTGTTTGTTGTTTAACCCAGGACTCAGCAATATTCCAGCTATATGACGGCTGTCTGTAAATAATGGAGTCTTGACCATACAATCCAGTGATTGATATCATGAGCATCAATCCACGTATTTGGGATATGATGACATTCAGAGAGCCTGACCCCGCAATCGCGATGACAAATGACAAAGTAATGGTTCAAAAAGAGATTTTGATAAAATGTCTGTGCAAGCTTTAGTTATTGAAATTAGAACCAGTATAACTGGAGTCATCTTCCCAAAGCAAGAGTTTTAACTGAGTGTAAAAGTCCAGTTTCCACCTTGCCGAACTAGGCAGGAATTTCTTGGATCAAATGTAGTGTCACCAGAGGCTATTACAAGTTATATCCCCTATAGGTACTTCCTATTAAAAATCAGATTCCACCTCTCATAAGACTTGCATTTGCTTCAAACAAAAAGGTACCAAGTCAAGACGCTCAAGTTTGACCGCACACATGCTCTGCAAATCCTGCAATCAACTGAAATCTGTAAGGCAATTGCCATGTTGTTTTTTAACCAGATGTCGATTTCATTAGGCGATTTTGGTTGGAGTATTATATGGACTAGACTCGTTATTCCAGCCAAACTATAAATCCGGCCTTGTTCGGGAAGGATGAAAACTGGACTTATAGTCAGTTAACTCCCTTGCCTCAGGAAGATGAATTGTTGACAGCTTTAGAAAAACAGTTCACAGTTATTAGCTGGCCAGGCCATTACATCAAGCTGGCAAAACACTAGTACAATGGAAGTTAAGAGTTTTATTACCATAAGTTCTTGGTCCAAGGCACAAGACTCTCTATCACTAATCATTGTGGGATTCCTTTCCTCCTCAGCTGCTAATAAATAGAAGACCAAACTATCAAATACACACAAATCATTTTGAATTCTCAAGAACACGATGCAATCAGCTGTCAGGTGACAGGTAGTACCCAAGGCTGCTGCATTGCTTCAGATTAAACATTACTTCATGTACTTAGTCGATGCAACAGGGACTGATATTTATGTGATTTTCATAATTATGACACTTTTGCTACTGTTTGGAAGACCATGAACAAAATGAAAGTGCACATAGGCAAGAAAATATAAATTTATTTAGGTTGTGTGATCCTTTTAATATAGTCCTGGATGATACATCAAAAGACCAAAATCCTATGATTTTAAGACACATACTTACAATCTTCACTTTTTATTTTCTTGACTGTTGGTGGTGCACAACCATCTTCATCTTCATCCAGAATGATGATGAAGTCTGGACCAATGTCTGTTCCTCCGACATCGGGTTTCTCCTCCTCTCTCCCTTCAAGGCCATGTTTCTGCCTCCCTTCATCAGCTGGAGCACCAGGAGCACCTGCTGTCTCGGCTACCATCCTGTCAGGTAGTTCTTTCATCTTGTCAGCACGTTCTGCAGGACTAGTTGCATTGGGGTCTTCAGTTGAAGCTAAGCATACCAGCGACCAATCAACGTGCTGTTTCAAAAGTGTAAACTCCCAAAGCTTAAAAGTTTGAGAGTGAGTGAGTGAGTGAGTGAGTGAGCTGTGGGAGCCATGTTATGCATGGCAGTGTTTATTGGGAGCCGTCATATAGCTGGAATATTGCTGAGTGCCGCGTTTAACAACAAACCAACAACGTATGGCAGTGTTTATTGGGAGCCATTTTATGTAAGACACTGTTTATTGGGAGCCATGTTTGCATGGCAGTTTTTATTTGGAGCGATGTTATGCATGGCAGTGTTTATTGGGAGCAATGTTATGTAAGGCAGTGTTTATTGGGGGCCATGGTATGTATGGCAGTGTTCATTGGGAGCTATTTAATGTATGGTGGTGTTTATAGGAAGCTATGTTATGTAAGGCAGTGTTTATTGGGAGCCATTTTATGTAAGGCAGTGTTTACTGGGAGCCATTTAATGTATGGCAGTGTTTATTGGAAGCCATGTTACATATGGCAGTGTTTATTGGGAGCCATGTTATGCATGGCAGTGTTTATTGGGAGCCACATCATGTAAGCTAAAGGCAGTGTTTATTGGGAGCCATGGCATGTATGGCGACGTTTATTGGAAATGAAGGAAAAGATGACAAGTAACAAAGAAGATCATAATACAGACAGGTACAATATCGGGTAAAGATTTGATTTTCTTGAGATTACCACAGTTACCTTCTTGTCCTGGAAGTGTCATGGTAGGATTCACTTTGTGTGTAAGGCCAACATGCTCGGCCAGCAGCCGCCACAACAGGGTTGTCCAGGTGATGGTGTTGTGTGTAGTCTTGACCTGCTGGACAAACTGCGTGAGAATGTCCATGTTGATGTCCCCCCGATGCTGGTAGATAACAGCCAGGATGTTCCTCTGGAGATCAGGGGGGAGGTTACTCAACACAGTACTACTGAAAAAGTTTTAGAACAATCAAATCATTTCTTTTAATCAATAAAAGCACATTTTTCAGTCTATTTTAGGGGAAGATGTCAGACTGATAAATTAGATGTGATGTTTAGTTTGTTATGGATGTTCTTTTAGGCGTCGAGAATTTCTTGTTGTCAGATGCAGTGGGTATTGATCAAATTCTTTGGTATTCAACCTGTGGACCCGTGAAGATCCGGGTCAGTATAGGTCTTCAGCAAACCATGCTTGCTGCAAAAGGTGACTATGCTTGTCGTTAGAGGTAAATAACGGGATCGGGTGGTCAGGCTCACTGACTCCGTTGATGCATGTCATCATATCCCAATTGCATGGATCGATGCTCATGATATCAATCACTGACCTGTCTGGTCCAGACTTGATTAATTACAAACTGACGTCACAGAGTTGGAATATATATAGTTCGGCGTTAAATAACAAACAAAACAAATAACAACAAGAAACAAACAAAACTGTGAGGTGAATTTACTGTTGGGTTTCTGAATTTTTTTCATGCAAACTTGTACTCAAACATTTCAAAATATATTGGTGATGGTGATTTATGTTCTTTGGGCATCTCAAAATACTGGGTAACGGTGACGTATTTTGCATATTTTACATAAATACACAGCTAATCTAGAGTTCTTTTGGTTCACAGTCTTAGCCGGTCTTGTGTGATAGCGAGACATTTGTCACCATGTTACTCATACGTAAGTACTGATAGTCACTTTGTCAGGACATCGTAACAATTGAGAAGACGAATGTATTCGTAATAATTTCCAACCCATCATCAACCAGCAGCAGCAGATCTTGGCAAGCTCCTCAAAGCGATATCTCGTCATGGAGCTCTTTTACTATCGCTGCTACCAGTCAAAACTCCCCACAGTGATTGATGACCAGAACAATCCTTGGAGTTGAACTCGACCGACTGACCGTTGTGTTCACAAACAAGTGATGACTATCATGACTCCAAATACTCTTACCCCAGCTTAATTATTTTCTTTGTTTGTCAATTTGAATTTCTGTTTCATTCCAACTTTCATGTGATTGGTATAGTAAGAATGTAAGGGGAAAGTTAAGTGATTTTCCGTCAGTCTGCAATCTCGAACCGATCTGATTATACAAGCAACAAAGTAAATTCATCTGGAAAACATTGACAGTCGTAAACCTTTTCAAAATGAACAATGATGGCATTCCTAAAGACATAAACAAAAGTATAAATGTTACTACATTTGGGGCTAGAGAAAAAAATTCAAGATTCTTGTAATGGCCGTCTCACACTGGTTGCAGCGTTGTTACCGAGAGTGTAATGAAGGTGTCACGCGCTGGGAAGAGGCTTGAGATCTTGGTTGCAAAGGGAGAGAACTCTGAGTGCCACAGATCCTTAGACCACGACACTGTTTCACAAATCTTTCATAGCACTGGGCCTACCTCAGTTGTAGCTCGCCTACTTTAGAAAAAGACACTTTTACTGTTTGGCACTATGAAGTATTGATTAGGTCAGTGATAGGCTAATCCAAACAATACATGAACTATACTGATCCATAAAACAGAATACAAACTTACAACACAAGTTTCTCACAGCTTCCAGAGACAACCTGATCAGACAGAAATTCTAGCAGGACCTGCCATTGTGCTGGAACATGATCTGCATAGCGTGTTATCAAATCCTCCTTGATCCATAACTCAGCTTGTTGTAGTGACCTGTTTCCCTTTAGTGCTGTAAACAAACCTTCCCACTGGCACGGGGTGGGCGGCATCAAGCAGACTCTGCTTCTCTGGGACTTCATTGGTTTAGAAGCTGTAAAGATAGTAATTAAGTTATAACAGTATTAATACATGAAGTAGGTTATCAATATCCTTCACAGACTGTCATCTTAAAGACTAAAAGATAAAAGAAAACCAGTGCATATCAAGAGGTAGCCGAGAGCCGTGATGGGGTCCTACAGTCAAGACATTACCCTACTATCTAGACCCTTCACATCACGGCTGTCGGCTAATCGAGAGTTGAACTGTCTTGGAAAGTGTTTTGTTGTTTTTGCTTCACATTTAGACTAATAACTAACTATATTTAACCAAATAAATGGAATCGTATATATCTTGGAAATGTCAAAAACATGTTTCGCGTTTATTTGGAATTCCTTCGCCGACCCTGTCACTCTCATTCCACCACGCCCACAAACTTGACAAAGCAATGATTGAAGGAAGTTAGGAACGCTACCTGTTGACGTGCCTCCAACTCGTTTCAACCTATTGACATGGATGTCACTCATTTCAAGTGAGAAACTCAGTTTTTACATTCTTCAACATCGGACCCCATGGAGCGCTAAACAAACTTATTGTCGGTTTAGTGCGAAGTGACTTCACGTGAAAACAACTGATCTGATCAGTTCAGGGTGCCTCAAACTAATGTCGCAAATCCCGCTGCAATCAGTTTTCCTTACAGCAAGCGCTTCCTTTTCCCTGATAAACGGTGTGAAGAGTTGTGTTTAAATCCGGTCAAAATCGTTTTGAACACCGGGACAAGCCAGAAATAATGTATTTTTGCATATTTGAATGGTAACTTTTGCTACTCCCATTCTTGCTATTGCTAATACGACTTCGATGTATGCACAACGACATGCATTGCCTCAATCGCTTCTTTTGAATGTGTATTCATCATGCTAACTATTTTTCTTTTTATATAGTTTGTTTTTGCAAATATTGTTTTCCCTAGTTGTAGGATTACATCCGATTTGTAGGGTGTTGATATTCATGATTGATGCAATGTAAGTATGTACACGTGTTGAGGGTGCCAACCCCCTTTTAGTAAGCCGGATGCCGAGCACCGTTAAGCGCCATTCTGGTTGCCATTGAGCACAGTACCTGGATGCATTACTTACCTGGACTATTTTTCGACCCTGTCGTCCAAAGAGTGACAATAAGAGACTTAGTCCTTAGCTTATCACCATGATCATGCATTCCATGTGAAAATCCTGGTCTAATTTACTTTAGCAGCTGTGTACACTGATACACAGAGTATTTAGCTCTGGTGAACAGCAAAAGTAATTTGTGTAATTTCAGTTCTTTAATTAAGAAGGCATTACTACTTTATCGGAAGAGTCCTTGAATTTACCTTGCTCTTCCAACTGATTGGGACACGGAAGGCATACTAGTAATCACCCATGGAACCTCAAATAGATGCACAGAACTACGATTGTTGGATAATATCCTAGACTCACCTGGGTCCTGTTCCATAAAGTGACCTTAGCGCTACGATTGACGCAAGTAATGTTAACGTATGGGAGTTACGGTCGTCTGAGCGCTATGATCGCTTTGGGTGACAGGGCCCAGGATTGTTTGTGTTGGGTATTTTCAGTTTGAAAGCATAACACCCGTGCGCGTGGGTTTCACCAGTGGTAAAAGTCTAAAACATGCTATCCTCTCACATTAAGCTGACATGATGTGGTTATAAATGAAATACTGTACAGAGTGGGGTGAAATTTACTCACTCACTCTTCCAGCTGTTGCGTTCATAAAATTCTGTTCTGGTCTTTTCTCTTGTGAAATGAAACATATAGTGCAACGGCATTCAACAGCTTAAAATGTCAAAGCGACAGCCACTTTGGGAATTTGTCAGAGTACGCAGAGGCGATAAAATAATAGATACTTCATTAGTCCAGTGTCCAGCGTTTTTCAGAAGATTTTTACCGACGCTTTCGCTGCTTGCTGACGCTGGATAATGAAATATTAAGCTCACTTGACTGTCAGTCAGGTGAGACCAAAAGTACCATGGCAACTTATTCATTGTACAATAGGCTACAATAACATTATATATTTGGATTTTTTATTGCAATTACAAAAATAAATGTGAGGTGGAAAGAATTTCATATTTTATCTAAAACAAACTCTTCGAAGCATCTGTTAACTCTCAACATATGTGACTGAAGCAGCTAGTGCCAGGTATCTGATAGTTCCAGGTTATGTAATAAGTTTTGTGATAAATAGTTGTTGAGCATTTATTAGCTTGTGCCACATTTAATGTTAATTACGTTTGTTTGTTTGATAATGAAGTGCTATCTTGTTTTATCTTAAACACTCTCAGAGTGAGGCACCTAATCAGCGATGATAATAGGATGTCACACTTCATCGATAGAGAAGTGCCAAGTTTCAATAACTAGTATTTGGATTTTTGTCCCAAACAATTGTACTTCTCTACAAATCGTTTTTATATAGTGTACGTGAAACATGTACTGCTAGAACAACTATGTACTCAAAAGGAGTTAAAGAACACGTGGTTATTCCCTATTACGACATCTGAAGGAATCGGGTGTTCTTTAACTTCATAGCAGTACATACTAACACACATCTCATCTCATCTCATTCTAGTGCATGTTTACATCTATATAGTATGTATAACATTTGATAGTCACGATATGGCTGAAATACTGCTGATGTGACTTTAAATATAAACTCACTCACTCTATCTTGGTTTCCTACACAGTGATGTAGCCGTAATCCTGCTTAAAGCGTTTGAAACCACACCTGTGTATGTAGTGCACACAAAGGACTCAAACCATGAGGTACATAATAGCAAAAGGATTTGATAACAGAATAATAGACAAACATGTGGCGAAATGGACTGCAGCACCATAATTGCCAGAATCCGCTGCTTTCCAGATTCTCACCAATCACGATCCTTGATGGCCAGCACCATGTTGGTTTACCAAATTGTTAAATGTTTGGGCCAGTCACTGTAAACTCCAAGTATGTACTTCCACATAAAGTTGATGCACTATGAGTGAGTGAGGGAGTGAGTTGGGTTTAACACCACTTTTAACAGTATTCCAGTTATATCACGGTGTGTCAGCTTAATGAGGGAGGAAAGCCCGAAGTGATGCAGGTTCTCAGACATCCACTTCGATGAAACCCACAAGCACGGGTATGGTGCTGACAAACCTAGAAACGTAATCGGGGCTAACCAGGATTCGAACCCACAATCATGTGCAACTCTGCACAGTGAATCGCAGCACCTTAGATGACTGGGCCACCCGTGCTCCAGACATATAGAAATTGTCTGCATGCAGTTAATCCGTGAAAGGCCACCATATTCTAGCCAGACGCCAATGGTGTTCAGAGCCAATGGTCTCGCATGTTTTCGTGTACGTGTAACTGAAGCACTGGTAAATCAGTGTGACAAACTGAATGAATCACACCTTGTAGCACAGGCCTTCAACAGGGACATTACCGGGGAACCATCATCCATGGTCTGGTGTCAATTTTAAGCCAAGGTCTGACATTGTAAAGAGTGCCATGTCTATACTTAGACATTGTCTCCATGTACATTAGGGTAAATTAAAAACTTAATTGGTAACATTGGTTGATATAAAGTTGTTTTGGAGGGACTGGATCTAAATTTGCCAGGAATAACAATAAACCCTAGCCTAGTCCCCTTTCAATGTAGGCCAATGTGTATCAAGTGTGTGACAGAAAGGAACAATGATAGTCACGGCTGCTTCTACTTGTTCAAACTAATGACGGTCTTTTAGTGCTAGACCACTGAGATACCATGCCGCAGTTTAACATGGAATCCCCACTCAGACACAATCTACTGATTCCAAGCCAACCAGCCCTTTTTTTATCCCCTTAGTGCCGAGCAGCAGTCAGTTTTGAACCAATAACCTGCTTTTTTGGTACATGCTCTGTAAATAATTAAAACACCAAACACTGCCAACACAGGAATAGAGCCCTCTTTTCCGGTCCACTCTTTAACACATAAAAGAACAACGAAACAGTGTAAGACAACTTTAATAGTAGTAAATGTAATAAATAATAAAAAATATGTGTATAAAATGCGTCAAATCAGTCCATAAGCTCAATAGTCATCATCGCTGCTATCATCATCATGATTTTTACCCATTGACCGGGTTCCAAATATGGTCTTCTTTGAAATATCCTGGTCTTCAGGCACATCAACCACACCTGTCAAAGGAAAATCAAAAATAACTCACAGTGGCATTCAGTGCTGGTTGTGTGAATTATACCACTTAAAGCACAACATCCATAGGATTCAAGGGCGGATCAAGCATTTTTAAAAGGGAGGGGTCCAAAATATCAAAATCATCTCTCAGAACCCAACCTCTGGATCCGCCTATGGGATTCATGTAACTGTGAAAATCAAGGTACCTTCAATTCAATGTTTAAAGTACTGATTTCAATTATGATGTCAAATGAAGTTTATTCATAAGATTAAATTAATAATTAATAAAACTGGGCAATGACAAACAAAAGTAAAAACTATCAAACAAATTAAGCTGTAAATAACTGAGATGTATGTATGTATGCCTGGAACTTGTTACCTGACTTTCCCAGTCGACTCTCCAAGACTTCAGTTGCAAACCCATCACTGCTGCCAAGCTCTTCAAACCCAACAACCCTGTTAATGTAACAACAAAAAAATGTAAAAATGAAAGGTACCCTAGGTAACTAAATGTAACATGATACTATCCTTATGTCTTACAGGTACAGCGACCCAACTTGGAATTTAACACAGACTAAACCAAAAAATAATGTATTACTTCAACTGCATACCTTTTGGAAAAGACAAATCATAGTTTGAACCAAGCTTGTTGTGATCACGGTGATCAGTTGATGTTTTTTTAAGATGGGGGAAAACATTGTTTCATGGGAGCCATGTTTCACCCCGCGCTATAACCATGTTAGCGCTATATTGAAGAGCGCAACAGCGAGGGAACACTGTACTAAGGTTTCTAGAGTGACAGTTCAAACAAAATGGACCACCTCCGTGGTCTAGTGGTAGAGAGTCCACCTGCAGAAGGTCCAGGGTTTGATCCCTGGCCGCATCATACCAAAAGACGGTACTTGTTGTTACCCTGTTTGGGGCTCGGCATTAAAGGGCTAAAACAAGGACTGGTCGGCTCGGTGTCCGTATACTGTGTCTGAGTTGGGTATTCATGTTAAAATGCGGCATGTTATCTCAGTGGGCAAGCACTATAACATCGGCATTAGTCCAGACTAGTAGAAGTGTGCATGCACGCACAAAAGCCTGAGTCTAATAAAATTGTGTTTCTGTCCATCTTTTAATGTCTTTTGATATGACGTGGCTGGGCATCTAACCTAGGACTTTCCGCCCTCCTGGTGCACGCAATGCCGCTAGGCCACAGAGGTGGTCTTCAGTGTAATATAACACACTGGTACTTCGGAGGAACATTACAACTCTACTCAATCACAAAACAGTAGTGAAGACATGAACTCCACACTCACAATATAAGGAGTAATAAACAGTGATAAAAAAAGTATTCAAGATAATATTCTGTAAACATTGAATAGATAATGAATGCAATCGAATCAACCAATCAAACCTCAGCTTACAACAATGTTTTTCAGTTGCAAATGAAACCAGTTTACTATCTCCCAACTGATCATGCTGAAAGTTATACTCTTGCGAGTCTCCAACCAGATAAAGGCATGTGACATAGACAAGCTCGACATCAACACATGCA